CTGACCTGGGTTGCCTTTATGTACTTGGTGGGCTCAGCTTCTATCCACTTTGTAAAGTAATCTACTACCACAATGAGATACTTCCTGCCCGCTGACCCAGTGGTGAAAGGTCCCAATATGTCCATTCCCCAGTGAGCGAACGACATCGGACTGAGGATTGGAGTCAGATCGTTTGCTAGCTGATTTATGACCGGTGAATATTTTTTACACTTGTCGCATTTTTTGACATATGCTAGTGCATCTTGCGTGACAGTTGGCCAATATGCCCCTCTTCTAAGGACCTCTACTCCCAATGCTTTCCCGCCGATATGGTTGGCACATATTCCGGAGTGGGCTTCTTCCATAATGCCCTCCTGCTCCCATTCTGGAATACACCTCAGCAGCGGCTTTGAGAAGCCTTTCTTGTTGAGCTCTCCATTCATCACTACATACCAATTTGCATCTTTCTTCACCTTTTTAGCCTGTGCTTCATCATCGGGCAGCGAGCCATGAAGTTTGTACGCCAAGATGTCTGAGACCCAGGCTCTTTGACTCCTGACGCAGTTTACCTGCTCCTTTTCAGCGATGCTGCTCTCCTCTAACACTTCGACCATCACTGTTATTGTGAGGCTTTGTAAGGTGGAGCTGGCTAACTTAGATAAGGCGTCAGCCTGAGAGTTTCATGCTCTAGGGACCAAGTCTATCTGGAAATGGACTAGCTGGGCTGCCAGCTCTTTAACTTTGGCTACATATTTCATCATAGTGGCTTCCCTTATCTCATACGCCCCCTGCAGTTGGCTGGCAACGAGCTGAGAATCAGTTTGCAGGTGTACTTTACGGGCTCCGTCTGCGAGGCTCATACGCAGGCCTGCCAGCGCCGCCTCGTACTATGCTTCATTATTAGAAGCTTTGAACTTGAACTTAATGGCATACTCAAATACGTTTCCTTCTGGAGACGTCATTATGACTCCTGCCCCACTCCCCGTTTGGGCCGAGGATCCATCCACTTCCACTTTCCAGACCCCAACGTCATCCTCTTTCTCCTCATAGGAGGCTTCCACTATGAAGTCTGCTAAAGCTTGTGCCTTGATGGCTGCTCTAGGCTTGACCTCAAATTCATACTCAGAAAGCTCGAATTCCCACTTTAAGAGTCTACCCGATGCATCCATCTTTTGTAATGCTTTCTCCAGCGGGTGGTTTGTGAGGACCTCTATTATATGCGTGTCAAAGTATGGTTTTAGCTTTCTTGCTGCTGTGACCACTGCGAAGGCTAGCTTCTCTACCAGGGGGTATCTTTGCTCTGCCTCGGTCAGCACGTGGCTCACGAAATATATCGGCCTTTGTTGATTCTGTCTTTCTACCAGCAGAACGGCTACGATTGTCTGTATTGACGCTGAGATGTACAGCTGCAGTTTTTCCGTCAGCTCCGGGCTGATCATTGTTGGGAGCTTAGTCATATGCTCCTTAATACCCTCAAAGGCTTTTTTCTCCTTAGTCCCCCACTTGAATTCTCTGTTTCCTTTCAACAGCTGATAGAATGGCAGGGCTTTGTCTGCTGACTTGCTGATGAATCTGGTCAGTGCGACCATTCTGCCTGTTAACCGCATGATATCTTTGATGCTCTTAGGCTCGAGCAGATTGAGGACTGCTTCGACCTTTTCTGGGTTAGCATCTATTCCTCTCTCGCTGATCAGAAAACCCAAAAACTTTCCGGAGCTCACTCCAAAGACACATTTTTTCGGGTTGAGCTTGATTCTATACTTGTTCAGAGTGGCAAATGTTTCCTCCAGAACCATGATATGTCCAGCCTGCGTGACGCTCTTAACAATTGAGTCGTCAACGTATACTTCCACATTTCTTCCCTTCTGGTGAAGGAATACTCTATCCATTGCCTTCTGAAAAGTTGCTCCAGCATTCTTCAGCCCGAAGGGTATAGCTATGTAATTATACACTCCCCCTTCAGTAATGAATGCAGTTTTCTGCCTGTCTGGCTCGTGCAGGCTGATCTGATGGTACCCTGTGAAGGCGTCCATAAAGCTTAGCTGTGCGTGACCGCTGGTTGAGTCTACCAGTTGATCTATCCATGGCAGTGGGTAACAGCCCTTCGAGCAGGCTTTATTAAGATCTGTGAAATCAACACACATTCTCCATTGGCCATTTGCCTTCTTCACCATGACCACGTTGGCTAACCATTCTGGATAGTCACAAGGTTCAATAAATCCTGCTTCTAAGAGTTTTTCCACCTCTTCCTGGATTGCCTGGTTTTTCTCCATGGAGAAGCTTCACTTTTTCTGCCTGACTGGACTAATATCCTCCTTCACATTCAACTTATGCACCATGACTGCTGGGTCAATTCCGGGCATCTCATCTACGAAAAAATGCAAAAATGTCTTTATTTTTTCTCAACAGCTCTATGAGGTGCACCCCTACTCCTGGATCAATGTCTTTTCTAATCTTCACCATCCTCGAGGGATCACCTTCTGTGAGCTCGACTTTGACATGCTCCCCGCTGGGAAGTGGTCTGGCCATTTCTTCTTTTGCAGGCTTGAAGTTTTCCATTGCCAACTTCTGTTTATCTTTTTCCCTGTGATACTCTTCACGCTTCCTTTTCCTTGACTTCCTCTCAGGTTGCTCAGGGAGCCTTCTCTCGGAACCGGACTGCTGTCTGGTTTTGGCAGGCTGCTTTAAGGCAGTTATGTAACATTGTTGGGCTGTCTTTTGGCTTCCCCTGAGCTTTGCTGACCAACCCTCATAAGTTGTGTACGCCATGGCCAGGTGGTAACTGGGTACCATCCCGCCTATCTTGTGGATGAGCGGTCTTCCCACGATTACATTGTAGGGTGAAGGGGAGTTTATCACGAGAAATTCTGCTCGGACATCACGTCTTTTTGACCTCTCTCCTACCCGGACTGAGAGTTCGATTATGCCTTTTGGGGTAAGCCCCGAGCCATTTAACCCGGTGACCTCGTAGTTTACTCTCTTTAGGTCTTTTCTGTCCAACTTCAACTCATTGAAAGCACTGATGTATATGATGTTGGCTGAGCTGCCTCCGTCTATCAGTATTCTATCCACCTCCCAATTTGCAATTCTCATTTTCACCACCAGCGGGTCATCATGAGGGTAAATTATGCCCTTGTGGTCATACTCGTCGAACGTGGCTAGTGGCTGCGGGGGAAGAGGTGGCCGTCTACGCTTATCGTTGTCGTTTATTTGATGTATCATCACCTGCAGGTCAGCCCGCGCTCTATTAACTGTCCCCCTCATGTACTAGACCCCCGCTGATCACGTACACCCTGCCCTCTGGCTTGCCATCTCTATCCTTGTCTCTAGCTGGGCCCCTCCGACCTCCTCTGCGGTCAGCTCGGCCCGCTCTATCCTCCTCCCTTCTTCTGGGAGGGTCACCACGCTGCTTATATTGACTCAGGTATCCTCTCCTGACTAAGTCCTCTATGTTGTCCTTCAAGTGCGTGCATTCTTCAGTGGTATGGCCATAGTCCTCGTGAAAGTCACACCACTTACTGGTATCACAACTCCTGTTTACCATCCTTGGAGGCCTCTGCCACTTATAATCAGCCTTATTTACGCTGAATATGTGAGATCTGGAATGGGTTAGTGGGGTATACTGATCAAACTTCCCAGGCCTTGGCCCTCTCCTTGGATCAGACCTTCTCAGTCCCACTGCCCTGTCCACTTCTCTGCGGTTTTGCTCAGCTCTGCTTGGCTGGTCCACCCTGGGTGTGTTCTCTGCCCGGGTGACCTCTTCCCGCTTAACTGAGTCACCTGTTGCTTTCCTACCCAGCATTGCTCTGTCAGTCTCGTCTGCTTTGATAAACTCATGCGCTTTACCCAGCGCTTCAACGAGCGTTTTGAGGCTCTTACGCCCCATATATGCTCGGAATGGTGACCCTGGCAGTAGGCCACTCTGCATTGCTAATAGCGCTACTTCCTGGCTCATATTTGGAATGGTTGTTGCCTCCTTGTTGAATCTCGTGATGAACTCCCTCAGAGGCTCATCCTTTCCCTGAACTAGGGACATCAGCTCGGTTGTCATCTTGGTTCTGTCCACCAAGGTTATGAAATGCTCCATGAACATTCTCTTCAGCTGGTTGTACGAGTATACAAAACATTTGGGGATGGCGCCGTACCATTCCGATGTCAGTCCCTCCAGAGTTGGTGGGAAAGCCTTACACCAGACTGAGTCCGTCATGGTGTAGAGTACCATATGATTCTCGAAAGCTGATATGTGGCTTTTGAGTGTTGTGGTTCCATTGTACTTGCAGCTCGGCATCTTCACCTTCTCCATGAGTTCTTCCAGAATCTCCCAGCAAAATGGGGAATCATCTGGAACAACCTGGATTCGCGCTCGTTTGTCTATCTCCGGGCTGGGTCCTCGCTCTGCGGCCGGTGACCTACTGCGAGGGACCCGCTTCTCTGGGCTGATTCAAGCGGGGGTTATTTCCTCCAGGCTCCATTCCCGATTCAGGTTGCGAGCTTCCAGCTCCAATACTTTTTTCCTCAGCTGAATGAGCTCTTTCTGCTCCGGGGTGAGAGTTGAGACTTCCGGCTTTTTCACTGCGGGCTCCGCAGCTGCCGTTGTCGGTGATGGGCTTTCCCCCTTACCCATATTGGTAAGGATCGCTGTCACTACAACAATTTGACCCTTGTGCCACAAGTAAAATCGTGGCACAAGTATAAAATTCTCGTGGCTATGCAATTTTGCCACGGGAATCTTGAAATTTTCTCCCGTGGCACAAGAGGCCGTGGCTAGAAAATTGCCACGGGAAAATGAATGTCGTGGAAAATTTTGAAATTTATGCCACGAGTATTCACGTGGAAAAAATATTCTCTTGCCACGAAAACTAACGTGGCTAACACATTATTTGCCACCAATTCTACCGTGGTGATAAACTTTGTTGCCACAAGTATTACCGTAGCTAATAAGCTTCGTTGCCTCGAATCTGTACTGTGGCTACCAAACTTTGTTGCCATAAATATTACAGTAGCTAACAAAGCTAAAAAAATTGTATAATAAAAAAAATTGCATTAATTAAAGCGAAATTAGTGCAGAATCACATACAAATACACAAAAGTTACAACTTTTATTTTATTTGTGTTTATAATACGCTAAAAACTAGATTAATACAATCTATAATTATGTTCATGTCTTCTACTTTAACTTAACATGATCTGTTGAGCTGAAGTTGATAAGGCCAGAAATATCAATTTGTTGCTGTTGTTCGAAGCGTAAAACCAGTCAAGTTTAATAGGGGATCTCATATGTGAGCATTTGTGAGATATGATGTGCTGCTGAACGACATTGAGCCCTTCCGACTCTTCACCAAAGTCCTATAACATCAAACAAAGAAAGCTTTAGCCCATCTAAATAACAATTCTAGCTCTTAAAGCAACCAACAAAGAATATGCAACAGATCTATAACAAAGACAACGGCATTTACAACGACAACAAAAGATGCAGCATCGGCATCGACTGCATCAACAACAATAGCAGAAGTGGCTAGCCTGGCTGCATGAACATATTATTTGTGACAATGTTATGCATTCACAATCATTGATTCTGTAACTCATCAAAGTATATATATATATATATATATATAAATCAGTTAATCTGTAATGTAGGAAAACTAATATAAGTCTGACTTAAGCAGCAGCAACAGGGGAAAGACTGCAGGGTAGCAAGCAGCGGAGGGGGAAAGGCAACAACAGCTAGTAAGGAGGGAAAAAGACACTAGGACAACAGGCTAGGAGAGGGGGAAAGGCAATAGCTGCCAGCACGGGAAAAAGAAAAAATGAAAAAAAAAATACTACGTATATAGGCTATTGCTTTTTCCTGTCAAGTGTAACAATTTGAATTGAAGTCTAAGCTTGCAACTGATATCCCTTTGTTTAAATATGCAGCAATTTCTAATCACCCAACCCAAGGCAATAAAGGAGCATACACATAAATATAAAAATTGGTTAAACTAGAATTTACAAAGTGCCATCAATAACCGGTGAAGATAGCATTACTTACTTCATTCCTTTGAACCTTGACATCCTGAATCATCAGAACCTGATGAACTTCCTGCTCCAAGAAAATCCAGAAGTTGACTAAACTTCTTCTCCCAAACTGCATTATTATCAGCAATTTTTCTGTCCACGTCATTCTTAACAGCTTCCGCCTCTTTTTTGGCTTGTTCAGCTTCTAATTTAGCCTGTTCTGCTTCTGTTCTAGCATTTTCAGCTTCTTTTCTTGCATCTTCAATTGCTTGATCTGCTTTCTTTTTAACTTCATTCACCTCTTGAGTAAGATCAATTCGAGAGGGCTTTACTTTAAAATGTTGCGTAATACTTCTACCAGGTCCATATGCTTTCAAATACCCATGTATATCTTTGCCAAGCACATCCTGAATAATTTGCTCATCTGTTTTCTCATTAAGACCTTTCTCTCTTTGTTCTTTTAATTTGTTTATCTCATCCTATGAATAAACAATATTAAGTTAGAAGATAAGATGGTAAATGTTAAATGGAAAATAACAAGCATAAAACTTATAAACTTACTACTGCATGAGTGTTATTTGCCAAATTGATTGCATTCACAGCCTTCTCAGATTTTCTTGTACGAGTTGCAACCAATACATCAACTCGAGAACACTTCCCGCCATTCTTCTTCTTCTACAAACATTACAGAGTTTTTAGAATCAAATTACACTCCTAATTATTGTACGTTTGCATATTTTGAATAAGTGCGAGAATTACTTCGTAAAATTTTTAGTGGTTTGGAAGCTAATGACATTTAGTTATGTCCAATAGAATTTAATTTTCCATGTGTCTAGAATTCAGCTAATAAAAAAAATAAAAAATAAAAAATAAAAAATAAAACAGAAAATAATAATTAGGTGTGTGCAGGAAAGGGGCGCGGGTGGTGTGCAGGAATGCTAGGGAACGGGGGCGTGGGTGGTGACGTGGTGTGCAGGAATGCCAGGGAAAGGGGGCGTGGGTGGTGACGTGGTGTGCAGGAATGCTAGGGCGAGGGGGGCTAGTGTACAAGCAGGCAGGCAAGTAAGTGGTAGGAGGGAGTGGGGGTTGTTATGTATGAAAGGGTTAGGTTGGTGTGTAGGAAATCCAGGGAAGGGGGGCTGGTGTGCAAGTAGGGAGGGGATGCAGGTATGTGCAGGCAGGTGGCATCTGGCAGGAGGGGGTCGGGGCAGGTGTGCAGGCAGGGAGGGGGCTGGTATGCAGGAAGGGAGGGGGCTAGTATACAGGCAGGGCTTGTGTGCAGGTCATAGAAAATGCAGCAACAGCAAGGGAGCACTCTCCACCCACAACAGCCTGCAACACTAACCACTTACAGCTGCAACAGATGCTTATCTCATTAGTTTATTTAGTGTAGCCTTTTGAGCTTTTTGGAAAATGATAGATAAAGGTAGTAATTAAGGCTTGATGTGACATCATAGAGTATTGTAGTCCTATATATGGCAAGAATCAAAAGTTAAAATTAGAAAGAGTAGTTATTACATACAATTTCTTGTCTAGTGCGACCGAAGCTTTTAGTGCCATTATAGTGAGGCATCTTCTGTTGTGCCCTACTTTTACTTGCTTTTTAGCTCTTCTCCTACAATAAAAAGGATTTAATCAATAATATACGTTAATTATATTAGAATAAAGATATACTATCTGTGTATTTTACCATAACCGCCTCTTCACTCCAATAGTCAACCAAGAACTTCCATTCCACTTTAGTCAGATGACTAGGCTTATTTTTGAGACGATCTTCTTTTGTTTTCAAGTTTTTATCATTAAAGTACTTTGATTTCAATTTGCTCCTAGCACCTCTGAATAAACGTTGTGCATGTTTCATAACACACTCCCGCCTATTTTCAGGGTCATCAAATGACCACTTCTCCTGCAAAAGACAAAGATAAATTAATTATTGCTCATACATCAAGTTGACAATGTTTCATTGTTAATAAGAGAAAGAAAAACCCCATAAACATGTTTATTATGATAACATATTACCGTGATGCAAGCCCACAAATGGTCTAATGTTTCAGATTTATAATCGTCCCAACATTTAACTTGTACCGAACATATAGCTTTATTTCGAACTTGTTGACCCAAGAAGAAAGAAAATAATGAAGCATTATCACCAATAGCCACACCATCATCGTCAAACTCCACATTCAGTTTTTCCCCAGGAGGTAACAGGGTAAGCTTTCTACAATATACCGTTCCTCTTTTTTTTTAGCAGCACCTGTATCAAGCATAAGCTCACTGGGTAGTGAATTAACATGACTTGAAGCATATTGTCATATATATACATATATATATATATATATATATATATATATATATATATATATATATATATATATATATATATATATATATATATATATGTTTTAAGGGATAATAAAGTCAAACCTGATGAAATGTTAAGTTCCTCATTCTCTGGTACAGTCATGAGTTCCTTGTCGTTCAATGGTTCAGTATCCAAAGATGCATCTTCAAGTTCAAGTGGTTGACCAATCTGTCGTCCTTCTTCATCATAGCCCCCCTTAGCGGTGTTATTATTCTCCCTTGTTTCTCCAATTTTTTCATCGTTTTCTATTTACATGTATAGAATAAAAACAAGTCTTTACTGAAGTGATAGGAAAGGATTGGTTTTGATTGTTGCAGAAACTCTCTAAGTGATGATATTGAATCTATAGCATCTACAAACTTTCCCATGAGTCTAGTTAATTGAAATTTTACTAATTCATCACAAAACCTAAAACTGATTTATTAACTGATTTATTGTTTGCTTTATTAACTGATTTATTGTTTGCTTTAATAAAAATACAACTATGTGTAATGGAATGGGTCAACGGGGATGAGGTATCCGAAACTATAGTGCAAGCTCCGGGGGATAATGTGGGTGTTGATTTGGATTTTTTGGAGGATTTAGCGGCTGTTTTAGAGGTCACAGAGGCTGCCAATGCTGCCACGAACACCACAGGGGCTGCTGCGTCTGCTGGGAACAGTGCAGTCTGCAACCAGCTTGTGATGGACAGCACTGACCACAGCCAGCCTGCGGGTGCTACTGCCAGCAGCTCTTATTTTGCCATTATTTTGCTGTATTTTTTTAGGTTCTAGTTGTTATTTTGCCATTATTTTGCTGTATTTTTCTAGGTTCTAGTTGAAGATATCTGCATAATCTTTTGCCATATTTTCTAGTTAGTTCTACTTTTTTTTCCCAAGATTTCTGCATAATCGTTTTCCATAATTTTTCTAGGTCCTGTGCATTATGCTTCCTGGGAATTAGTAAGATTAAGTAAACCCAATTCACTAAGTTTGTAATTGATTTTGTTGGGTTTTCAGTATTTTTTTTTTATTTATGATTGCTTTCTAAGTTCATTTGATACCTTATTTGTAATGTTTATAATCAATAGAATGCTTAATTTCTGCAGTTGTTATTTTAATTAGGGTGGGTTGACAAGCATGTCTTTTGAGTTACTCGTTTAATCGATCATTAGCGATCAAAAAGTTAATCAGTTTCATCAATGAATATGATGCCTGATGCGTTTTCGAGGACTGATTTCACTAGCTAGATTGCATTTTAAAAATTTTTACCCGTACTTTCTTCTTATGAATGCATTCATGGACAGAAGCATGTATGTCTAATCTATTAACATTTCAATGTTACTATTTTGAGCCTCTGCTATGTTATGCCATAATAGTGAGAGTGATTTCAATTTTCAGGGACCCTCGAATCTACAACTCCCCCCCTGTCTACACATGCACCTACCCACTCTCTTCACAAGCACCTGCCCCTTTCCCCTACCTGCTTGCAGCACACTCATTCCTATACCAAACTAAAGCTAAATTATATTTCTATTTACCAGCAAATTTCAATAAGAGAGTTCACATCACTTTTACCTAATATGACATTTTGAAAGCAAAACAGCAACTAAGGTACCTAATAAGATCAAAATGACAGTAATAAGCTAGAAACCAAAATCAAGAATAATGAAGTACCTTTTTCTAAGATATCCATGGCCATTGTGTTTTATGCTTTCTTGTTCGTCTTAAGAAAATTTGCCACTGAGTTTGGTGGAATGAAATTGTCTTTTTTGTTTCCTTCCCTCAAATGTCTTATGTTAGCTTGATAAAAATTAATTAACAAAAAATTACCAGAACTATAGAGGTTGGTTGAAAAACTAAATAAATCATACTTATTAGTTCATATTATACCTTTCTTGTAAACCTGATTTGAGGTTCTATTTCACGTTCCCGATCCTCAAGCTCATCATTAGTGGGAACATATTCACCATCTTCCATGCCAGCAATTTTTTTTCCTTTTTTTTTTCTTTTTTTTTTTGTCCCTTCAACCAAGCTTGTCAAAGAAGATGCGATTCTTTTTATGCCCAACGACTTAAGTCTGTTTTTGTTGGCTGCTATTGTAAGAAGCCTCTTTTTTTCATACTCATTCATCTGCATTTACAAAGTAAAAAACAAATAGGGTTAGACAATTTTACAATAGAATTTTAATGCACATTGAGTGCCTAAATCTAATTTACTACCATCCACTGCATCCCTAATGCAAAGCTGCTGCCAGCTACTATACACATGGTGTACAATTACTGTCAAATACTACAAGCCATTTACCAATAACTGTGCATAAAACAAAAACATCCTGACATACATCTATTCAAATAAGCCAATAAAAACACGATTGCAAAGTGTGAAAAAATAAGTAATTATAACTACAAAGGTTTTCCAGGAATCCATGAATATATGTATCAACACATACAATTCCTGCTAAAAAAACAAAAAGAAAAAAAAAATTAAGCAATATCAATATCATCATCGTCGCTCTCTTGGTCACTCTCACTGTCATCCTCATCATCATCCTCTAGCAAATCGTCGTCATCTAATGTTTGTAAGTCCATATCATTTAGATCTTTGGGTTGATTTTCCTTGGTAGCATCTACAATCATTTCACTAATATCATCTCTTATTTCAACAAATGGATCATGAGTCTCTTGCAAATTACTTGAGCTTGAGATATGAGCACCTTCAGATTGTAGTTGTTGCAATGCATCTTCTTCACTTTCAGTCCCTTCCTTTTTTACAACATTATAGTGATGCCTTGGGTGGGTCTTCACAACAACAAGCCAATCGGGATCAAGTCCGTCACTAACATAGAAGACTTGTTGAGCTTGAGACATGAGCACAAAGGGTTCTTTGGTACGCAATGAACAAAGACTATTGACACTCACATTGCCATGTTTGTCAACTTTGACACCTCTTCCTACCCTATTGACATCCCACCAATCACAATGAAACAAAACCACACGCTTTCCATCTAAATATTGTATCTCAAGTATGTTAGTGAGAATCCCGTAGTAATCTTTTTCCATATTCCTAGCAATGCCTTTCACTGTAACACCACTATTTTGGTGTACCCTTTTCATTTCTGTATTCTTTGTGTGGAATCTGAATCCATTTGCAAGAATCCCATTGAAGCATTGAACACCATTCAAAGGACCTAAAGCCAATGTTTTCAAATCTTTCACTACTTGGTCATTGCAATCATTAGGCAAATCGATGACCTAACAATAAATAGAATATTAGCTAATTAAAACTTATACTAGTACTACACTTGTAATTAAAAAATAACTACATTTGATTTTAAAAAATACCCGGTCACGAAACCAATCAACTAAATTTGTGTTTGATGTGGACTCTTCATATTCACTGAAATTCAAAAGAATAGTTGTTATAAGATAATCATGGGAAAGTATACTTGAAGTTTTTTATAAATAGAAAAGAAAAATATCATACTCTAAATAAGTTTGTGCTTCATCACAATTCTTAAGTACATATTCTCGAACTTGTGTTAACTCTTCTTCACTAAGAGACCTACATTTAGCCTTCCCTAAAGGAACACCAGACGATGCAAAAATTGATAGACCCTTGTAGTCATCATTTTCCGCATCATCATTCCTCTCAAGTTGATTAAATTTTGTCTCGATTTCATTCAAGTATTTTGAACAAAAGTACATGCACTCCTCAATGATGTAACCTTCCGCGATGGAACCCTCTGACCTACTTTTATTGCGAACATAGCATTTAAATCTATGTAAGAGCCTACAAAAATAACAAATTTTTAATAAAGAAAAAAAGTTGACTTAGTTAATAAAAATTATTAAATCAAATTTGAAATGCATAAGTACCTTTCTATCGGATACATCCAACGATATTGTACTGGTCCACCAATTTTAGCTTTCGTAGCTAGGTGAAGACACAAGTGGACCATGATGGTGAAAAAAGATGGAAGAAATATTTTCTCCATTTCACACAAGGTGACTATAATTTCACGTTCAAGATTTTCCAAATCTTTCACTTTCAATGTCTTTGAACACAAGTCCTTGAAAAATGTACTCAACTTCACTATCACATCGTACACTTTGGGTATGGACACCCCACGAATTGCAAGTGGCAATAGTTGTTCCATAAGCACATGACAATCATGGGTCTTTAGACCATAAATTTTACGCTTATCGAGGTTTATGCATTTAGAAATGTTAGAAGAATATCCATCGGGAACCTTTAAATTCTCTAAAAACTTACACACTTTTTTCCTTTTGTGCCTTAGACAAGGTGTATAGTGCTGGAGGAATATGCCACTTTCCATCTCTTAATGTAGGAGCAAGATGTTTCATAACCTTCAAATGCTTTAAATCATGTCTAGCCTTTAGATTGTCTTTTGACTTCCCATCAATATCTAGCAATGTACCAAGAATATTGTCAAGCACATTTTTTTCAATATGCATGACATCAAGATTGTGACGAAGTAAGAGGTTACTCCAATACGGCAATTAAAAAAAAAAATGCTTTTCTTCTTCCAATTATCATCCCTCTTTGGCAATTTCATTGTTTTACCAAATTTCATGCCTTCAAGGTCCTTTAGTTGTTCTAAAATCTCATTGGAAGATAATTTCCTAGGAGGACCTCTTTTTTCTACTTTCCCGTTAAAGGATTTATTATCTCTCCATTTATGATCGGTAGGTAGAAATTGACGATTGTCCATGTAACAACATTTCCCCTGATTTGGTAGCCGAGCAGAGCTAGTTTCTTTCATACAATGAGGACATGCTTTATAGCCTTTGGTAGACCACCCAGATAAGTTTGCATACGTAGGAAAATCATTTATGGTCCATAACAATGAAGCACGCATTTAAAAGTACTCATTCCTTGAAGCATCATAAGTCTGAGCTCCAGTTTCCCACAATTCTTTTAACTCCTCGATTAATGGTTGCAAATACACATCAATGTTATTTTCCGGTCCACTTTTCCCTGGAATTAACAAAGATAGTATCGTGTAAGGTTGTTTCATACACATCCATGGAGGGAGATTGTACACAACAACCACTACTGGCCATATACTATAGTCACTTCTAAGCCCGCCAAATAGATTGAATCCATCACTTGCTAAACCCAACCTAACGTTACGAGTAGGATATTCTTTATCTAAATGCTTCCAAGCTTCACTATCTGCTGGGTGTCTAAGTACTCCGTCATCTTCTCGTTTATCAGAGTGCCACCTCATCTCATTTGCTGTTTTGGACGACATGAATAGCCTTTGCAACCTCGAAGTTAGTGGGAAATAGCGTAACACTTTAGGAGAAGCTTTATCACGCTTAGTATCGCATATGGAACACTTTTCAAGGTTAGCATTCTCTTTCCAAAATAGCATACAATCATTTTCACATGCTTCTATTTTTTCATAACCGAAACCAAGATTAGTAATCATCTTACGTGCTTCATAATAATTTGATGGCAAATCTGCACCTTTAGGCAAAGCATTTTTGAACATATGAAGCATACTAGTAAAAGCTTTATTAGTCATGCCATCCATACATTTGATTTGGAATAACTTCAAAATGAATGACAATTTAGAAAATTCATTACACCCGGGGTATAAAGTTTGTTGAGCATCTCTCATCAAATTTTCAAACATTTTTGCCTCTTTTGTATCCTTTTTATATCTAGGTTGATCAAACTCCTTAGGTTGTTGCTCCTCATCTAACATGTCATCTATGTCATCATTGTAAGAAACTCCAGGACTAAACCTGTCATGGATCATTCTAAATATATCATCATGAGCACTATCTCCCAAATCATTTCTACTTTTCTTTTGTGGGGGTTTGAATTCTCCATGATAGATCCAACGAACATAACCTTGCACGATTCAATTCACTATCAAGTCGGTGTAAATTTTGTCCCGTGTTTTATGTGGACCATTGTTGCATCGATTACAAGGGCAAGGTACCTTCTTTTCCTCCTCTCCTAAATCACTATTCATTTCTAAGTCACCAAAAGCAAATTGAAGAAAGGAATTAAGTCCATTTATATATAGATTGTCTGTCCTATTAGCACACCTCATCCACTCTAGCCTCTTTTGAACCTTCGGAGTATCCATGTGACAATAAAAGCTATGAATGCAAAGAGAGCTAGTTAATTGAAAAGTGATAATAATAATAAAAAAAATTAATAATATTTTGTGTCTTACTTCTTTAAGGCTGTGTTTGTTAAGAAGGGTTATCATTATTAAAGAAAACTACCTATTCTGACCACTCATACTTTTATATTGCTGACACTGAAAAATTGCGAAATTCCAAAGAGGGAGCTTCAAATTCGTGGTTCAGCCTTCTACAAAAATTGGCCTTTAATGTCAACTATCATAGTTTATTGTTTTTTCCAGCTACATGATATGGCATACAATGAGGTAATATGAAATATCTAGCGACATAAAGACGTCATTGGAAACATCAGCTTCAGATTTTAACATGATTTGATTATGAAATTTGATTTTCTCTTTTCCCCTCAGATATTGTCATTATGGACGGTAATTCCGAAGTATATTGGAGGATTGATTTCATCAACTCAAGATGTTGGTCAAGATCTATAGCATAGTTGCAATGCATTTGAACTCAAGTACCAAATATATCATATATTAGCCATTTATTTTCTTTAAGATGTCCAATTGTAAAAGATTTGAGGATATTGATCATGTTCGTAGGATGGCACTATTTAATTTTACTAATATCATAAATTAGACTAATTTAAGTAGCACATGTACACAAATTATCAGAAAAAACAGATTATACAAAAAAATATAATCAAAGATACAAAGTAATTACTTTTCACACAAGAAAAAAAAGGAATAAATTAAATGAAATCAGGAAAATTGCCATACGAAATTATGAAAATTAAAGATAAAAAATCTTAAGCCACACCAATTTGTAGCAGAAATTGTAAAAATAAAATCAAAACTCGAGAACAAATCTGTTCAACCATAGCAACTAGAATCCAACGTAATTCAATTTCTTCCACATATGTATTAGAAAAAATAAATTAAAATCGCCATTGATTCACACATTAAAACACAACATATGAGAAAAACGAACAGTTAATAGATCTAACTTGAAATTTTGTCCAAGAATTGATCTTCTGAGCGTTAGACGAATCTTCGAATTAGGGTCCTTCGAAAGAACGGTTTTGCCTTAAGCAAACAAGGTTTCTGAAAAAAAAAAATTAATAGGAAGGTTTCTGATTTTTGAGGAGAATTTTGAGGTTTTGGTAAATTGTTTAATAAGTGGCGGCTAATTAAAAAAGAAAGTGGCGCCTAATCAATTTTGGGATTTGTGAGGGGGATTAGTGTTTGTGAGTTGTTTTTGTTTGGGGTAATTAGCTACCTAATCTGTGAACTACTTTTTTTTTTTTAATACGGTCAACTTACATTATTTGTTAATTAAGATTAAGTGATACTTTATATAAGTATCAGTATAAGTGTATAACATAATGAGTTAATAAAAGTTATATTATAAAGGTGCTTATTAATATAAAAAAAAAAACGAAATTACTTATTCAAGGGTTACTTATTTAAAGAGTTACTTGGTCGGTCAAAGATTACTATTATAAGTTACTTATAACCAACCGAGTAACACATGAATAACTAACCCCTAACTGACCAGATAACCCTTGAATAAATAACCCCACAATAAGTATTCTCGAAATATAAAAGTACGTACTACGGAGTATATAAATACTTACTATTACATTATCATGTAACTAGAGTGGACAACACGAGTGTTTGGGTCAATTTTAGATCTAGTTATTGTGGGTTACAAGTAATTGATGTAAGACCATGTTAATTACATTAGAAAAGTTTGTTTGATATCATTTGATCTTGATAGTTGAGACCAACAAGAACCATATGTATTAGAATATTTAGAATTGAAGTATAATTATGTTTTCTTACATTATTTAATAATCAAGTTTAAAAAAATAAAATTGTGTGATTATCATTTCAGCTTAATTTCATTTTAGTTCGTTTCAGCTCCAATCAGTTTAGTGCAGTTCCGTTCAGATCTGATCCGTTTAGTTCAGTTCAGCTTCAAATTTCCTTCATTCACAAAAAAATATTCATTTCAACTCAAATTAGTTCAGTTTAGTTCAGCTCCAATCAGTTCAGTTCAGTCCAGTTCAATTCAACTCCAATCAGTTCAGTTTAGTTTAGTTCAGTTCAGTAAATGTGAACAAGCCCTTAGTCTAAGAAAGAGTTAAAAAGTAATTTAACTTTAATTAATAATAGAATTCTTTGATCCAATATTATTTTAATAATCCCATAAAATTGATTAACAATATTGTTAGAGTAATATTAGGTTATTGTTAATCCATGTTTTAACAATCCCATTCTAATTATTTCATATAATAGTATAGTCTCCCGTCTAGCTTAATTTATATATATAGGTACTTGTATTATCATTGTAATGTAATTTTGAAACTATGCTCATATCTATTACGGAGCACTAAATTATTTCAGATTATACTTATATTATTAAATAAAACATTAAGATATATTCATGTGTATCGAATGCTATGTTTGTTGTACACTATCTTTTCTTTTTGTGATATAAAATTGTTCATAAATAAAAGACATACGACATCTACAAAGAGATTAAGATCTACTAAATACATAATAATTGAATCAAATAAAAACATTCGTAAGCAAATTAAAGTTACGATCGTTGTTGCATATCGTACTATCTTATATTTATTCAGTGAGCAATTCGGATATAAAATTATAATTTTGTAACTAAAGTTCTAATCAATAAAAAATCAAAAAAATAAATAAAAAAAATTAATTTAATTTAACAAAGATACAAGTAAAATGTAGGAGGGAAATTTACCTCCATAATCAGTAAAGAGTTTAACTTGGTTGAAAATTTTGTGTGAAATTCTACCCCTAAAAGTAAATCTCATCAAAATGAGGCGGTAAAACTCCCTCCAAATCAATACTCAGTATAACTAATATATAATTAAAAAAAACAAAAAAAAATTAAAAACAAAAAACATTAAGAAAAAGGGTGTAAAACACTTAAACACTAACAGAGTAACATCTTCCTCATATGTCATATGCGTTCTTCATCCTTCACTTCATTTTTTTTTCTTTTTTTTTTGGAAAGCCAGTTCTTTACTCCATCCTCCATTCTCTACCAATTTCAAGCTTTTAATCCAACTACTCTCTTCTAGAATCAAGTGGGAAATCTCAAATTCTCAAGTAAGTTCCTTCTCTCCTATATCTGAAATTTAATTTCTCACTGAAATTCGGTTTCAACGGTACTTATTGGGTTTTTTTTTTTTTTATTTTAATATATATGTGTGATATCAAAATATCATTTCGGGTTTCAAAGGGTTGTGAAATTTGTTTTCAATCTATCATCATCTGCCAATTAGCTGATTTCATAATGTAACTCGAGTTTCAATGGGTTTCAAATCATCATTTCGGGTTTCAATGGGTTTCAATGGACTATGCTGAATGTTGCGCTATTTATTGATAGTTATTTGATTTAGTTGGTGTTCAATATATTTTGCATTTTTATGTGAGATTTGAGTTCGGATCTGATTTGGGTTTAATATTTGATTTTAAAAAAAAAATTATTAATTTTTTTTTTCTGGGGCTATATATTGTTTATGCTATCTACGGATTGCGTCCAATTGGTTGGAACATCATATACCCTCTAATTTCTTCTTAGTATTTCAACCATCGATAAAAGTTCTAGTGAGAGCTGTGCAGCAGCTTATCATATAAGAGACCTATACATTGATGGAACCACGATGTGGTAATTGGAAATTGTAGTGTTGAATCAGTGAAGTTAACAGGATATACATACCCTTTCTTGAGAAAAATATGCCTTTCTGTAGTATTGTTTATACTAGACACATAATATCTATACTTAATATTTTTGTAAAAGGTTTTATTCTTCCCTTCTTGTGGATGATAAATGGAAATATGGACACATAATAGAAATTAGTTTAGACACTTTGGAGGGCCTGTAAGGGCTTCTTTTGAGTTTGAGAAAGGCTACATTATATGCATTTTCTCTCTAACGCGGTGTGTGTGACTGTGGGAATGGTATTGAGTCTACTCTACATGCTACATTTGAATGTTTTGGATAATGAGTATCCCCTTGTCGATTAGGGTGAAATGTACCAAACTTTTTTATTTGCTCTGTTTTAGATGTGTGTCACTGTGCTATGAATGAATGGACTCTAGTCCTTTTGTATGGCTCGCCTTACCTTGAGTTGCGTTCTGCTGTCTGGAACCAGCTTAATACCATGTTCCATTGTTTGCCCCCTAATATTCTTGTTCAGGGTGATTTTAATCACCTTGATTCGTTAACTCAGAAGTTAGGTGGATCTAAGCGATTACAAGGTCACCACTCATTGTTGACACTTAGGCACCAGTGGAGCCTCAGTAACATACCATCTAAAGGGGTGGCTTTTTTTTTTTTTTTTTTTTTTTTTTTTTGTTTTATTATTACTTTTGCCAAAAGATGCTTGTTTAGCTCAATGATGTTGCTTGTGTAAGCGTGTGTATTCATGGATTTCTATTAGTAGCTTTTGTTTCACTTAACAGTGTCTCGTATTCGATTTGTTTCCGAAACTTGTATATATGTAACTCAATTTATTTGATAGTAGAATGCAGTCATTATGTTGTTGCTTCCCTAGTATTTCCCTCTGTTGCTACCCTACTATTTCATCCCTTCCTGTTTTTGTGATAAAACTGCTGCTGGCCACTTGTTGTCGCACTATTGTGTGCTTGTTGTACTTGATTCGAATCATAAATTAAAAGCTGAGAGATGATGATGTTCATTAAGTTAATCGAATTAATAATCAAGTGAATTGTTATGGCTAGTGTTGCTTTATTGCTTAATTATCCTACAAATTTATACCTGCAAATAGAAGAACCTTAGATCTAAGAATTTTATCTTGGACATAAACCTTAGCAGAACCAATATCTTAACCCGACTTGGGTTGTGTCCTTGTTGTTTATCAGTCGCAATATCTTCCATATAATGAGGATAGAATGGTATAGTTAAGGGTGGAGTAGTTTTGGCGTACCATCTTTGTGAAACACATAATTCCCCGTAAGTAGTTCATTATGCTATGTTTGGATAACAAATTAGAAGGGAAATGGAAGGGAGGGAAATAGGAGGAAGGGGGAGGAAGGGAAAGTGGAGGAAATGATGAGCTCCATTTTCCCTCCAAATCTCTCCAATTTTGAAGGGATGGTCTTTATTAAAGGAGGAGGGAAAATGGATCCCTCCCTCCCCCTCCCCTTCCCTCCCCTAACATATTATCCAAACAAGGAAGTTTGTCTCCATCCCTTTTTCTTCCCTTCCTTTCCTTCCATTTTTTGTTATCCAAACATAGCCTTAGTCTCATCTATTTGCTCTGTTAGAGTTGTTTTACTATAACTCGAGAGTTCCAGAAGTGGAGCAGCTTTTATGAATTACACAATTCTGAAATCCATGATGCAGTAGATGCTGCCATGCAGAAACCCATGATATGTATTTCTGCTTGTTTTTATAGGGGGTTATTCTGCTAAATCTATTCATTTTATTACATCCCTTTCCCATTCTTTGGCTGGCATTCAAGAAGTTACTTACCTACCACTAATGGTGATGGAAATTATTTCAAATTTTGCACCGGTGTTTCTCAATAGGTACTTCTCTACAACCTAGTGGTATCATCCCTCTTTTCGACACTCCTAGGTGTATCAATGCTGACATGCATGATAGCAAGGCCTTATAATCAATCTGTGGTTACCATCATAGCAGTCGCTCTGTTTGTTTTGTTTATTACACTCTCTGAATCTCGACATTCTTTTCTGCAGTACTTTATACAATATCACCAGGCTGCCTTGAATTCTATACTAGCATTGACAACACCGGAGAGAATTAGTTTTTGTGGTGATGTGTCACCTATTTGTTCTGAACAATATTTATTTTCTTTTGAAGTATGTTTGTTTTTACTGCCTTAGTGCAGTTGGATATTTTTCTTTTTGTGCTTCCTTGTTGCAGTTGGATGCTTTGTTTGTTTTGTTGCTTTGTGCAACTAAGTAATCTCAGTACCTTTTTATGCTATGTGTGTTTTGTGTTAACTTGTGTTTGTCATTGTATTACAGTTGTATTGCAGTTGTATTACAATTGTATTACAATTGTGATGTAATATTGCTGACATGTATTTGTTGTTGGCGCTTACTTGCTCTATAGGGAAGGGTACTTGTAGCGATGTTGTGTCTCTCTGCACTTTTCCTGGCATTGTTGTCCTTACAAAACAGAATTGGGTGAGGGGTGGCCGTGGGTTTCCCCAACAACCCTCTGATTCTTAAGTCAGTACTCGTAGTAAAAGTAAACTGAATTGACTAAGTTTGAGTAAAGAATAGTACCATTCGTGCCGCATTTGGCTGTTGGAGAGTTTTTGCTTTTTTGTTTTTCTCATTTTTTTGGTTTTTTTTGTTGTTTTTTTGTTTTTTTTTTTTTTTTATTTTTGTAAAAACGAAAGGGGTTGGAATAATAACTACGTTCCTTTCTTCATTCCTTAGAAATGATAAAGCTTTAAATGTGCTGCATTCCAGCTTCTCTGTACCTCTTTACCTTCTACGCCCCT